GAAAAGCCTGGTGTGAGTCTGGCTTGGAAACAGTGTACCTGTCAGAGACAGTGTACCTGCCAACCTAGAGGGGGATAAAAAGGGAGAGGCACGTTTCTCACTCCCTGACCACTTGGCACTGGTATCCTACAACTGAGAGAGAGGATGGGTGCCATTTTGAATATAAGTAACAGCTGTACCAGTTCGTGTCCATATGACCAGCAACCAGCAAAGAGGAGACACCGGAGTCTGGCTGGGAGCACTGACAGGGGGCTGCATGCTTGTGACTGTGAGCCTTGTGTGCCGGGATTGTGAAAACACTGTGGCTGTGTGGGAGGGTGTGGGGTGCGGCTGCGACCTTGGGCAATCACTGTGGGCAGCTCCACATGTTTGGGGCTCCTGATTCCCTGGTGAGGATCACTTCTGCGTGACCCGTGCTCACACCAAGGACTGCATAGATCCTTTTGTGGTTCTTGTGAGAGCTCAGACGAATATTGTACCCACTAGGGCTGGCGCTTAGGCATTGGTCTCCTCTGAGGAGAGGAGTAAGTGTGAGAATATGCCAACAGAGAGAGCAAACCTCCCCTCTGATAAAAAAAAAAAAAAAAGAGGAGAAGAGGAGACTTACCACACCCAATCTGGGTGTCACCTTGAGCATTCGCTCATCCTGGAACACTGAACAGAACTTCCTGGCCAAAACCAGCACACGTCTCGGGATATTCACTGAAAGAACAGATACTCCACCGAGCCACAGAGCTATAGTTCAAAGAAAAAAGCCATCACAGAGGAAAATTTAGTATCACTACAAATGCCTATTAATAAATGCAGCAATTCAAGAAATAAGAATAAGGAAGACAATATGACACCCCCAAAAGAACACAACACTTCAATATTAGATAAAGAGATTGATAAACTGCCAGAAATGTAATTCAAAAAATTGATCCTAGGATTACTTAGAAGTAATCAGAAGCAAATACATGGACTAAAGAAATCCATATATGACATGAATAAAAATTTTTCCCACAAGATTGAGATTTTAAAGAGAAATCAAACAAAATATTGGAAATGAAGAATTCAATAGAACAAATTAAAAATACTGTGGAGAGCTTTAATAACGGACTTGGTAAGGCTGAAGAAAGAATGTCAAAGTTAGACGACAGATTTCTGTAAATTTTACAATCAGACCAAAAGAAAGAATCTGAAATTGGAAAACTAAAAACCAGTACTGTAGATTCATGGAGCCATGAAAACATAGAAAACCTAAACAAGCCAATAACCAAGGAGGAAACTGAATCAGTAAGATAAGACCCTCCCAGCAAAGAAAAGTCCAGGGCCAGATTGCTTCACCACTGAATTCTACCAGAACATTTAAAGAAGATCTAACTACAATTCTTCTCAAGCTATTCAAAATGATTGAAAGGAAGAGAATCCTCCAAAACTCCTTTTGTGAAGCCAGCATCACCTTCATTCCTAAACCTGAAAAAGATACAACAGAGAAAGAGAAGTAAAGATGAATTTCTCTGATGAACATGGATGGAAAAATCCTCAACAAAATACTAGCCAATCAAATGCAACAAAACATCAGAAAGATCATTGACCTGGACCAAATGGGATTTATCCCAGGTATGCAGGGATGGTTCCACATTCACAAATCAATTTGATACACCACATTAACAAATTGAAAAATAAAAACTATATGATTATCTCAATATATGCAAAGAAAGCATTTGATAAAATACAACACCCTTCCAGGATGAAAACTTTAAGCACATTGCGCATACATGAACCATTTCTGAACACAATCAAGGCAATTTATGATAAACATAAATGTTGAAAAGTTGGAAGCATTCCCTCTGAGATCTGGAACCACACAATGATGCCCACTCTCACTATTGCTAGTCAATGTAGTCCTGGAAGTTTTAGCCAGAGCCATTAGGCAAGAAAAAGAAATTAAAGGGATAAAATTTTGAAAGGAGGAAGTCAAACTATCCCTATTTGCAGATGATATGAATATATATATATTCCAAAAGACTCCACTAAGAGACTATTGGAACTCATAGAAGAGTTTGGTAAAGTGACAGGATATAAAATCAACACTCAAAAATCAATAGCCTTTGTATACACATACAATGCCTAGGCTGAGAAAGAACTTCTAAGATCAGTTCCATTCATAATAGCCACAAAGTAATCAAATACCTTTGAATAAATTGTCAAAGATCTTATGATGAAAATTACAAAACATTAAAGAAAGAAACAGAAGAAGACACAAAAATTATAAAACATTAAAGAAAAAAATAGAAGAAGATACAAAAAAAAAGCTTCCACGTTCATGGATTGAAAAAATCAATATCATCAAAATGTCCGGACTACCAAAAAAATTTACAGATTAAATTTGATACTGATCAAAATATCAAGGACATTCTTCTCAGATACAGAAAAAATGATGCTGAAATTTATATGAAAGGACAGGAGACCCCAAATAGCTAAAGCAATCTTATACAACAAAAACAAAGCCAGAGCATCACAATACCACATTTCAAGACATTTTACAGGGCAGTTATAATCAAAACATCCTGGTACTGATCCAAACAGAGATGAGTAGACCAATGGAACAGAACAGAAATGCCAAAAATCAACCCACGCACCTACAACCAACTTATCTTTGAGAAGGGAGCTAAAATCAATCACTGGAGTAAGGACAGTCTCTTCAACAAGTGGTGCTGGGAAAATTGTATCACCACAGGAAGAAGTATGAAATAAGATTTCTACCTTACACCTTACACAAAAACCCACTCAAGATGGATCAAAGACCTAAGTCCATGACATGATACCATCGAATTACCAGACAACATTGGGGAAACCCTGCAAGACACTGGCAGAGGCAAAGAGTTCTTGGAAAAGACCCCAGAGGCACAGGCAATCAGAGCCAAAATTGACAAATGGGATTACATCAAATTGAGAAGCTTCTGTACTGCTAGAGAAGCACTCAGCAAAGTGAAGAGGCAACCAACAGAATGGAAGAAATTATTTGCAAACTATGCAACTGATAAAAGATTAATAACTAGAATATTTAAAGAGATCAAGAAACACAACAAAACAAACAACCCAGTTAAGAAATGGGCAAAGGACTTAAACAGGCATTTTTCAAAAGAGGAAATCTAAATTGTCAACAGATACATGAAAAAATGCTCAGAATCACTAGCCATCATGGAAATGCAAATCAAAACCACAATGAAATTTCACCTCACCCCTGTTAGAATGGCTTTCATACAGAATCCAACAAACAACAAATGCTGGTGATGATGTGGGAAAAAGGTACCCTAATCCACTGTTGGTGGGACTGTAAACTGGGCCAGCCACTGTAGAAGAGAGTATAAAGATACCTCAGAAATCTGCATATAGACCTACCATATGACCCAGCCATCTCAATCCTAGGAATTTATCCAAGGGAAATGAAATTGGTATCTGAAAGAATGATCTGTACCCCCATGTTTATTGCAGCTCAATTCACAACAGCTAAGATATGGAATCAACCCAAATGCCCATCAACTGAAGACTGAATAAAGAAATTATGGGATATATACACCATGGAATACTACATAGCAGTAAAAAGAAAATGAAATCCTGTCATTTGCAACAAAATGGATGAAATTGGAAAACATCATACTTAGTGAAATAAGGCAGTCCCAAAAGGACAAATACCATATGTTCTCCCTGATCTGTGATAACTAATAGAGCACCTAAAAGGCAATCTGTAGAAGTGAAATTGACACTTTGAGACGCAATAAGTTTGAACAGCTCTTGCCTCCACTGTTGAGCAACAGATGTTGTTTTCATACAATTTGTTGAACTCTATACTTAGTATAGAGTTAATCATATATGTATAAAGTTAATTGAAAATAGATCTTATTAAAAATAAGAATGGGAATAAGAGAGGAAGGAGGAAGAAGGGTGGGAATGTGGATGAGAGGGCAGGTACAGTCTGAAAAATCACTATATTCCTAAAGCCTTATTTATGAAATGCATGAAGTTTGTGTTCCTTAAATAAAAGGTTTCGGGGGGGGAGGTTGGAAGAAGGCCATTCTCCACTCCAGTAACTGCCCAATCTTTAAATAAATGTGTGTATACATATATATGTATATATGTAATGAAATATACTGGTAAACACAATGAAAATACATATTATAAATATATGTTAAAGATTTATTTATTTGAAAGTCAGAACTACACAGAGAGAGGAGACACAGAGAAAGAGAGAGAGAGAGAGAAAGAGAAAGAGAGAGAGAGGTTTTCCATCCACTGGTTCACTCCCCAGTTGGCTACAATGGCCGGAGATACACCAATCCAGTGCCAGAAGCCAGGAGCTTCCTCCAAGAGTGCAGGGGCCCAAGGACTTGGGCCATCTTCTACTGCTTTCCCAGGCCAGAGCAGAGAGCTGAACTGGAAATAGAGCAGCCAGGACTCAAACTGGTACCCATATGGGAGATGTTGGCACTGCAGGCAGTGGCTTGATCCGCTATGCCACAGTGCTAGCCCCATACTGTATTTTTAAAAACAGTTGTTACAGGTCATAAGGAGAGATTAGTTACTGAGCATGAGGGAAATTTTTGGTAAGATGGAAATATTCTAAATTGTGATAGTCATGACTATTGCATGATTGTATGCATTGACCAAAGCCCATCAAACTGTCTCAAAATTGGTGATTTTATTATATGTAAATTATATTTTAGCAAAATTAATTTAAAATTCTTCAAAGAGAAAATTTACTTGAGGGGGTCCTCAAAATGTTCATGGAAGATGTGTGCTGTGAAAAAGCTATGCAAATTTCAATATTTTGCACCCAAATAAGCTCATTTTTAATTTCATATCCCATGACCTTTTTGAAGTCCCTGTCAGGTAGCTGATACACACATAAACTCCACCCATGCCTATATAGAGATTTTTTTTAATTAAGCTTCTACATACATGGCAAAATAAAGTGTCATATTTGAAAAAGATACCAGTTTTAAGAATGATAAGCTCTACCATGATGGTATATTTTTCTTCAACAGCAATTCTCCTAATGAATGATGAAGCTTTGGGTCTCAGTGAAGCAGAAGCAGGAGAAGGAGAAGCAGCAGCAGCAAAAAAAAATAAAACAATGATGAGTTTTTGAGAAAATTTTAACCTGCTTGTCTGCTTCCTCCTTCAGTACAGCATAACACAGAACAATTTTGCACACAGAGGAGTATGATACCTAGCACACATCTTCATGTATACCAAGCATGCGTGAAATGAGTTTCTTTGACACGCCACCCGAAAGCCCTTATTAACTGTAACTCCTGATGCAAACCATAGTGGAAAAATATTCCATTTCTGAAAGGACAGAATGAGATGATGGTTGAGAAAATGCTAACTCCCTGCACACAGTCAGGTGTATTTTATCAGGTGGGTTGCATTTAACAATGTTTGATAAGAGATTTTCCATCTGTTTGTATAACTGTCTCCTAGAGAAAACACAAAGCCTTGGAGACTGCATCATCATCATGTTGTGGCATGTATTTGCTATTTTTTTACAAACAGGACAGGATTCAAGGTGAAGGATACAATACCAAAGATTTGCTCCATGAGCAGTTTTAATGGCAAAAGAACCTTGACTTTTGCTGATTATACTACTTCAACTAAAACTGACCTTCACAATATGAAGATTTCATTTTCACAAATAAATGGCTGGACTGATGTCTTTTATTAGACTCACAAACAGTGATTAGCATAGATGCTTTCAAGGCCACAATCTGTCTTTTAATTCAGCTACAGATAAGAGAACGGAAGTCATGGGAGGCACTAAAAGCTTAAGTAATCTTTGTTTCTTAAGAACGCAGAACTATTTACTTAGGGATCACATTCTGCCACTTTCCAGCATTATCAACAGTTATCATATTTATCCTGTTAACAGGATGGATTTATTGTTTGTGTATAATAATTCGGGCCCCGGCTGCACTGATGTGTTTTATGGCATGTAGTCAACGCCGATATATTGCTGGTCTATAACCGCTCCATAAACTGCAGATGCCATCATTGAAATGAATGAGCCCAAGTATCTACTGAGCTGTTTTTAATTATATGTTTATCTTTCCTCATTCCTTTGACTCACATTTTATTTATACCACATGTGGTTACATGTGGTATAGAAGCAATTTTAGGAGGTTTTGGAAAACCCTAAGCAATCATCTTATTTTACTCCACGAAGCCACATCACTTACATTGACAGCAATTATGTCTCTATATATCACAACATTCATGCAATTTCTGGTCCTCTCCAACCACACCATTCCCCTGTGAAATACTCCTACAGACAGAGGATTTTGAAAGAAAGCTTATTCATTGGACTTGAAATTTTTAATTATTCTCATAATTGTATTTGTAGTGATAACCGTGACATATGTAAACCCAATTATTTCATTATTGCATGTCATCCTACACTAAAAAGAAAATCACAAATATTTACCAAAAATTGCAAATCATCATAGGAAATAGTTACCTGTGGATCCAATTCAAACAGCTGTTTTGATTAATATGCTGTATCTGTTCATGCATTACCTTTGCTGTGTCTTGAAAGGGCTTTGCCAGCTAGTGCAGACAGGAATTAGCCCACTCCTCAAAGCCAAGGGTACTCGAGAGCCAGATGCGGTCACCTGTGTGGACATGGCCTCCTGCTCACACTTTCTAGCCCCACCGCTTGCTGGCTCTAGCGAAATGTGACCAATTGCTGTCCTTTGTTTCCTGGACTTGCCCTTCAGCTACCCGTGAAATGGCATCCTCACCCTCAGCACCCTCCTGCCAACTGGGGCTCTCCCTCTTATCCTGAGTTTTCCTCTCCTCTGCTCTGAAAGCCAGGGTTCTAGGTAGAGACTGCCACCCATCCCCTCCCTGTCCATGAAAGCAAGGCTCAGCTTTGCCTTGTGCTCCAACCGCAGCCTCCTGCACAATGAGACCTCTCTACCCACCCTGAATTTGAAGCCACCCTTTAGGCATTTTGATTGCTATGCCCATACCCTATACATATAGTCTCTCAGTTTCCTGCTTCTCCCCAAGTGCCCTGCTCCCAGGCCCACCCAATTACAACCACGGTTTTATGATATCAAACTGATCTGAATTTTCATTTCTGTATATAAATGAGCTGATTTCTGCATATAAACGAGTACTGTTTATGTATGCTTTTCCCACACTTTTTCTGCTGGTCAGTATCATGAACAAAATATCACTCGGATGACTTCCTTAAAGGAAGGAGGCCTGTGCCCTAGCTCTGTAACTCAGCCTTATCTGCCTGGTCGGAGTATCTGATAAAGAGAGAGAAGTTTGGGTCTGGGCGTTTTATCACCAGGATGGGGCTCTTGGAAACATACACCAAGTTGTCTAGAGATAGCACAGTTCAGAAAAGAGTATTGAGATGTTCCTAATAATTACCATTACAAACCCACTTACACACTTGCCACTTTGGACAAGTGAAGGGTCAAGGGGTTACCAAACAATTGTACACAGTTCATCTAGGCAGCTGGGTGCAGCCAGGCTCACGTGCATAATTTAGTCTCCATCAGATTGGCTGTCAGTTATACTCAAGCATTGGCTCAAGACCTTTCTGCTATAGATAACTTGCTACAAACTGGACACACACACCCAGCATAACAGGTGGGGAAGTGGACTTCTCCTTGGATGTAGTCCATCACCAAACAGAAGCCCCACATGCCTCTGATAAACATGTCTTGACCCTTAAAAAAGCATTCTCAAAAGTCCAATACTTTGTTTCAAAGGCCCACAGAATGCATTCATTCTGCTTTGTTTTCTTTTTCAAGAATTCAATGTGTGAGGCTGGCGCTGTGGCGCAGCGGGTTAAGCTGCTGCCTGCAATGCCAGAATCCCATATGGGTGCCTATTCATGTCCCAGCTGCTCCACTTATGATCCAGCTCCCTGCTAATGTGCCTGGGAATGCAATGTAAGATAGCCCAAGCACATGGGCCCCTCATCCAAGTGAAAGACCTAGATTAAGTTCCTGGCTCGTGGCTTCTGCCTGGCCCAGCCCTAGCTGTCACAATCATCTGGGGAAAGAACCAGCAGATGAAAGCTTTCTCTCTTTGCCTGTATGCACCCATTCCCTCTCTGTAACTCTCTTTCAAATAAATATGTCTTTAAAAAGAATTCAATTTGTGCCTCAATCCGAATTTATCTTTCTAGTGGGGAAGTTCTGTCATTCACATGTATATGTAATTGTCTTTTGCTGTCAAGAGCATTTCTAAGAGCTTATTTTGATCTCAGAAAAGGTTGAAACATTTAAGCTTTGAGGTTCACTCATTCCTTCATTTGTTCACTGAATGTTTCTGCACACACTTTGCCAGGTGCTGTGCCATGTGCTGGAGAGATTGCAGAGGAAAAAGCAGATAAAATATCGTCTTCGTAGAGTTTACATCCTGGTGTTTTGACTGGCAATAAAACAAAAAAAAAGTTAATACTGACAAATGCCAAGCCATAAAAAGCTATCATAAAGAAATACAAAGAGGGAACTGGCTAGAGACAGGATTATAGCTAGGACAGTCAGGGAGGGACTGTTAGGGAGCTAATAATTGGACAGAGATCTACAGACCTGAGAATAGAGACGCGTATAAATATTGAGGACGAGCATCTTCTAACAAAGGAAGTACATAGGAGGTCCAAAGGCCCTGGGGCAGAGGGGAGCAGCCTTGATCTGTTCTATGAGCAGCAAGAGGCCAGAGTCCTGGGAACTGCGGAAGCAAGGGAGACACAGGTTCACAGTCTCCAACATGGTAATTTCCTATCATATTAAATATTTTCCCCGTAGCGTGCTGAGTAAATGCTGCTTTAAATCAAGACTTCTTTTTTTATTCTGACCCCCAACCTGACTCAGAAATCACCTTTGTTTGAATTAATTATTTAATCACTTTCATCACACATGACTTCAAGAACTGCCTCGTGTTTAATTCAAGACAGTTGGCTTTCTCTTTGAAGACAGATTAAAAACGGAGTGGCAAAATAGAGAGGTGGTGTCTTAAGTTTAGAGCCGCTTCAGAGAGGAACAGGGAGGGGTGTGCCCAGGCTTTCCTTTGATGCACAAGAGCTGTCTCAATGCTGGCAGTGACAAGCTCCAAATTCACCAAAGTGACAATGTTCACTTCACAGACCCGGAGTCTGAGCCAGCAGAACAAACAACAAGCCCGGGTGTGCGAGCCACACCTGCACGACTCCCGTCATAATGAGACTTGGGTTCTGCAGACAAGAGAACAGGCAGGCAGGGGTCAAGCTGACTTAGAAAGAGGGCAAAACCCCATCACACAGTCCGAGGGATGAACTCCTGCCTGCTACACTGTCGCTTTATCTGATTTTTTTTATTAGACAGCTGTGATCTCCCTTCAAACCCTTGTCACCGCCGTTCACAGCGATGCGACTGATATGATTAGGGAACATGGCATCTTGTGTAATCAGGCCCAGTCACCACGTGAGGGTTAGGGAACATGACACATGCTGGGTCGAGAGAAGCTGAGGGCAGGCACACGGGCTGGCTCCTTGCTCTGCCCAGCTGAGCCCCCGGGACCTCCCTGCTCCTACTCAACCCTGGGAGCTTCAGGAAAGGACCTGTGCTTGGCAAAGCATTCCTCTCATAAGAAGTTGTGAGTGTGTGAATGCTTCCTCTTGTTTATTGGATGAAAAATTTGCATGCTCTTTGACAGAGGCATTCTGGGTAAGCGATTGCTACAAATAATTGAAGAATTTACCTTGAAGTTTTCAAATAATTCATCCTTGAAATCGGTTTAAAAATTTAAAACAGGTTTTACTTGACTTTCAAAAATTATATCACAAACCTCCATTTTTTAAAAGAAGTATAGCATTGCTTAAGCGTATCCTGAGGTTGAGGGAACCTCATTGCTTATTGGATGAAATGACTTCATGACGTCCTCAGGATGTTTTAAGCTTTAGGTCTGGACTCTCCTTACATGATGGCCTGTGCAGGAAAAACCTGACATAGGACCCTGGCTCTACCACTCTCTGGCCCTCTGATCTTGCACAAGTTGCTTAACCTCTGAATTTCTGTTTCTTCATT